TTATCAGTGAACAAAGTAAGGCTTATGCTTTCTGTGGAGGCCCTGACAAAGTTGAGGTATTAAAGACTGAAACAAAATCTGGAAAAAAGAGAGAGCGAAGGAAGAAAAAGAAATCTGATGAGGGTGGTGTTGCAAACAGCAGTGGTGCAGTGCATGAGAAGTATCAGAGTGCCCCTAGTATAAGTGTTAGTTTTGATAAATTGATGACTTCAGTTATCACTGAACAAGATAAAGCTGATGTTGTACGTGGTGCTTCAGTTGGAGTTGTGGAAATAAACACTGAAGTTGGATCTGGAACAATGAGGAGTTCCAAGAAAGAGAAATCAGATGAAGGTGATAGCGTCTCAGATAGGAATATTGGCAAAATGCAGGAACCGAGTGAAAATGGTTTAAGATATCAGAATGTCCTTGGGTTCAGCGATAGTGTTGATAAGTCCGTTGCTGCTGTTATCAATGAACAAAGTAAGGCTCATGCTTTCTGTGGAGGCCCTGACAAAGTTGAGGTGGTAAAGACTGAAACAAAATCTGGAAAAAAGAGAAAGCGAAGGAAGAAAAAGAAATCTGGTGAGGGTGGTGTTGCAAACAGCAGTGGTGCAATGGATGAGAAGTATCAGACTGCCCCTAGTATAGATTTTGGTTTTGATAAATTGATGACTTCAGTAACCACTGAACTAGATAAAGCTGATGGTGTACATGGTGCTTCGGTTGGAGTTGTGGAAATAAGCACTGAAGTTGGATCTGGAACAACGAGGAGTTCCAAGAAAGAGAAATCAGATGAAGGTGATAGCATCTCAGATAGGAATATTGGCAAAATGCAGGAACCAAGTGAAAATGGTTTAAGATATCAGAATGTCCTTGGCGTCAGCGATAGTGTTGATGAATCCACTGCTGCTGTTATCAGTGAACAAAGTAAAGCTTCTGCTTTCTGTGGAGGCCCTGACAAAGTTGAGGTGGTAAAGACTGAAACAAAATCTGGAAAAAAAGAGAAAGCGAACGAAGAAAAAGAAATCTGATGAGGTTGGTGTTGCAAACAACAGTGGTGCAAAACTGGAGGAACTGTGAAAATGTTGCGGAGCATCAGCATGGCCTTGGTTGATGACTTGTTTCATCAGTGAACGAAGTAAATGCGATGGTTATTGTGGAGGTTCAGATGAAGCTGTGAAATAAATGTGAAGTTCAATTCAGACGGGAAAGAGGAGAGTCAGAAAAAGAAATCTGGTGAATGCGATTGGTCTTTTAAATCAAAGGCTTAAAACTGGGAGAAGTGTGAAAATGGTGAAAAGCACAAGTGTCCCTTGGATCAGTGGTGATAAATTAATGACTTGTGTTATAAACAAACAGTAAAAATGTTGGTTTGAGTTAAGTTTGTGGTAATGAGTAAAGACAGAAGTGAAATCCGAAATAAAATAAAAGGGCGATCTAAAGAGCAAACGAGTCAGGCTGATGGTGTCCTAAAGATCAGTTTTGGAGATTTTAAAGATGATGAAGGACATAGTATAGAGTAACAGAATTCTGTAAATGGTTTCCGATGGACATTGGATAGGGAGAGAGTTGAATTGTCTCAATATAGAAAAGAAGAGAAACCAAGGCAATGTTCTAAACATTTTTTTATAGCAATTTTGTTTGTTCTTTGTATTTTCTCATCTCCTGTACTAGTTCATTCAGGTATGCCCGTTTAGGATAAACACTTTTCACGGCTTTTCTTCATCTTAAGAGTTTGTGATCCGCTGTTTAATCCGTGATTAACAACTGTCTCCAAATACTAGAGGCAGAGGGTTTTCTTTCTTGAGTTGATATTTTATTTCAAAACTTGATGTCACTTTTGTTAGTTTTTTTTTATTTAAAAAAAATAATAATAATAAAATTCTTCAGCTTGGCATGACTGGAATGTGTGTGTGTGTGTGTTTAATTATTGGTGGCTTCTTATGAAATATCTTATCAACTAATTATTATTCATAATAAATAAACTTTGTGTATTTTTATGTGTATTATTAAAGCGTAAACCAAGGCATCTCTTTTTTTAATAGGTAATAAGTCATGGCATTCAGTATTAAATTGAATTATCTATTTTTAGAATATAATAATAGACAATTTATAAGTTAATCATATTAGTAATTATCTATTACCTATTTAAGGTATTTATATATATTTTTTTTTTATCGAGAATATGATAATTTGATATTATAAAACCATGTTATTATATATATTAACTATATTAATTAAAATTTCTAATAGATTGTATTTTTAAACTGTCTTTATTATGTTTACAATGTATATTAGTTTTAAGTAAAATTGATTATTCATAAAACTAACATTATCACTATTTGAAATAAGACTTGTATTTGATTAGTAATAAAACATTTATAGTATCTTAATATTTTAATAACAATAAGATTTACAATAAAAATAAATTCCTTTCGTTTTAATTTTTTATATTAATAAATTCAATTCTTTAAATTGAAATCTAATCACATTAAATGAATGAAAAATCTAATCATTTAAACTCTGAAATTCTTCTTACTGACCTGAAGGTTTTATAATGCAATGTTTTCAAAAAAGAATGCAAGGAAAAAAAATGTGCACAACTTTTCCCATATGAAATTATTGCTATTTATATAGCTGATTTCTATTTTCCCATATGAAATTATTGCTATTTATATAGCTGATTTCTATTTTCCCATATGAAATTATTACTATTTATATAGCTGATTTCTATTTTCCCACATGAAATTATTGCTATTTATATAGCTGATTTCTATTTTCTACGAATATCAATCATATGTAATGATGCAGATTATATATTGTACTTGACCTTATGTTTGGAAGAAAATAAATTATATGATTTACTTTTTAAATATATATTCAAATATGAGAAATTATTTTAAAAAATTAATGTTTAGTAGTAAGATGAACTTTATTATTATCTTTTATTTGGACTCGATCAATTAATTTATCTAGATTTGTTCTCTCCATCTGCAAATAATTTAGCATCTCAATACTATATATTATAATATTCTTATAAATGTTTGCATTTGATTTTACACTTTACAAAAAGAAAATCAAAAGATGGAAGAACGTGACCTCTTATTATATAACCTCATAATATACAAAATTATATATATATATATATGTATACACATATAATGTGTGTGTGGAAGAAATAAAAATTAGATGGGAATTTATCATATAACATGTTTGGAATTATGGAGTGGAGGAACACCCTTAATTATGTTGCATTGTGTTGCACTCAAGCTACTCACTTTATTTCATCTATTTTTTTAAAAAAAATAATTAATTAAAATTTAATATATAACTTATTGTCAGAGCTTATTTCATGTCTGTTAAGCGAAAACAAAGAAAGAACATGCTTAGCAAATAAACCAACATGTAAAAAAAAAGCATTATAGATAATAATCATTATTATATTACTTAGTAATTGTATCTCTTATTCCCCAACGTGCATAAATTAAGTAGAATTACAGTGAGTAAGCTATTATTATATATACATATGTGTGTGTGTATATATATATACACACACTTTAAATTAGTTTAAAACTTAAAAATTAATAAAAATAAAAATAAAAACTTATTTCTATTGTAGTATATGATCCAATAACTATTAAATAATGAAGAGGATCACTTAGATTACAATTCAGCGGAGGCAGAGTGATTAAAACATTATAAGATACAAACACATGTAATTCGTTTTAAAAATAATCGAAACTCTCGCGTGCCTTCCAGCACACTTATTACCCAAAAATTATTGATTTTGACCATCATTTTCAATGATGAATATAATAAACATATATATATATATATATATACACCAGAAATGTAATATATATATATAAATATAGATACATACACATACATCTCATGCAGATGTATGATTGATTGTAACATTTTTTGTTATAATTAAATAATGAAATTGGGGTCGACAAACACTAATAAAAACTTTTGAAGTTTATCTATTGACGAGCACACGAAAATCATCATCCAAAATGTTTAGACACTTGAATAAGAAAATCCTTTTATAGTATAGCAATATATAATCTAAAATAATAAACAAGATTTTTTATGTATCCCTTAACCACTAAACGCGCCTTATGCTTATCTACTTCACCATTTTCTTTAGTTTCTTATGAAAACCTAGTTTACATTACTGGTTTTGTGCTATTTTGGAATATCGATCTACTAACTCCCATATATCATTTCTTTCAATAACTTCAATTTTATCATTCCATCATCTTTTGTTATTTTCTATCTTTAACAACACTTTTAACAGTTTTCATATCACAATCTAAAAACAAAACAAAATGAATGAGAGGATCTTCAAATTGACCAATTTTTAGTTACCTCATAATCTGACATTCATGCTAGTCTTCTTCAAATATATTGAGAACGTAAATCATCTATTTTTCAATTTATTTGTTTATTGTTGGTGCAGTTTGAGAATTTAAAATGTTCTT